AAGTGGAGTAAAGTATCTTGCTCAAAGATACAACACAGTGCTGTGGCATGACTCGAACCTGCAACCCTTTGGTCACGAGCCCAGCGTACTATTGGTGTGGTGTAGTCTCCTAATGAACCATACTGTACTTGGATGCACTTACATTCTCGTCTGCTTCCTCACTATCGCTGTCAAAGTACCAATCTTCTTCATCCTCATAATTATCGTCATCATCATCCTCATCATCACTAAACTCATAGTCACATCCACAGCCACAATGTGAGCAAAAGGCCTCCCCTTATGTAAAAACATTAACAAAATTATTGTGTAATCTGTAGATGTTTAATGCAATGATATTTTTATTTTCACACTTGTTTTCTGTTGAGCTGGGAAGTCTGATTTGTCTCTCACTACAGATATGGATATATATAGCCGTTCTCAAACGAGTGATGGTTGGTTTTCATGTGTATCTAACTAGTTAATCTTCAAATTGTATAAAGACACAAGCTTTATCCAGTGTCTTTTACAGTTTGAAAGTTAACTTATGAGAGTTATCTGCATCTACACAACAAAAGCTAGCTTTTCATGTAATCTATTTTATGTACTCAGCACATGAGTCAATACGTATACATGTATTGTGAAAAATCCACAAGAATTACCTATGCTAAAATGTGAGTATTTCTGTTACCGAGTAGATGATATTCTATTTAAGAGAGGTAATAAGAGGCTTTTTAATCCTCGGCAATATATTGCAATATGTATTGTAATGTTTAGTTAAATATTGTTATATATTGCAGTATGGTTTCGCTTCCCAATTCCCAGCCCTAAGTTACAATCGACTCACTATACTAAATTTGTCATCTCAAAAGATCATGAATCAAAACAAATAATGATAAAACATTGAAGAAGATGCACATTTGCTATTGCACAGAAATAACTAGTCCGAATTATTCTTACGTTTTATCGACTTTTTTCATAACATGCATATATGACATTTCTTCAAAATTCTTCTCATCTGAGAGACAAGTTTGAACGTAAAATTCGTTGATCTGCTGCCAAATCCACTTGTCAGGATGAGTGAACAATTCAAAATGCAAGTGCTTTATCCAAACAATGATACTGTGGCATGCATGGAGAAGTAACTCTGATAATATGTGATTGTGAAAGTGGATTATTGCAATTCAGATTCAATCCATTAAAAACACATGTACAACATACTTGATTTTGTCAGTTCCAAATATGTCTTGCTCAGCTCTTGAAATTTTTGTGTTGCCTCAGGATCGTTCAGGTTCTGGAAAAGAAGTGAGTGAATTATGTTAGTCTTGTATAAATTAGAATAAAGAGTCTTTAATTTAAGTATAAAGCCACGAGGATGTAGCGGAGTACCAGAGAATATATATTTTTAACAACCAACAATTCTGTCAATTTTTACAAGAAATTAAAAATATTCCAAATGCAACAATACATACATCTATAAACATTTAAATCATTATTGAGACACTTAAGCAAAATCTTGAAAAGAGAATTGGGTTGAAATGAATACTAAAGAATTGAATTTTACCACAAAAATTGTATGGCTACAGTATGCAGTTTAAACACCAAATCCTACCTTATCAGGGTGATACTTCAAGGCTAATTTTTTGTATGCCTTCTTGATATCTTCTGAAAACAAAATCAAAATGGAGTGATTATGAGTGGGGACTCAGTACTCCTCTTCCATTACTACAGCCACAAAAACAGGTGTAAAACAATAATTTGGTATATATTTGGAAGAACTGGATTATTCTATCACAGTTTTTGAAATGCAAATCACCCTCTTTTATTATAACCATCCCATCCAAAATAATTGTGCAGAAACTGTCAATCAATCGGAGCACAGTACGATAATTACTTATGCATGGATTTGGCTAAACTTTGTATAATGTGCATGCATACCAGGTTTAATCAAAATTGAATGATATTTAAACAAGTCATCTTGTGGAAACCGAAGTGCGGACGGAAAGACACTCCATAAAAATTAATAGCACATTTAACAAAATAGATGAGCAAGAAATGCCAGAAGGATATTGTTGTCAATCCATCCATCACCGACAGGTCTTCACTTTTTTGCCTGGATGGATAGTCAATTTTCAGTTGATGCCAACTGTGGAAACTTTTGATAAAACTTCATACAGCTATGTTTAGAAACTATTACATTGTCTTTTGACCACTTGCCTCATAGAAATAGAATAGTAATGTTTGAAAAAAGAAGACCATTTTCTGATTTCACCCATCTTTTTCTTTTGATCAAGCTTAAATTTTCGAATGAATTATGCAAAAGGGAGAAACAGAAACTGCTTCTTTATTATGAAATTTAGAAAGATTGATCTGTATCTTACTCAGCTTCTGAGAAAAAACATTAATTAACAAGGCAAAGTATAGCAAGGCAATTAATCCATATTCCCTGACTGGTAATCATTTAAATAATACAAAACAATGAAGATAGTGCTGATCTCCAGAAAGACTTGGAGCAAATGTGTAAATGGAGTGATACGTGGCTTTTGAAAATGCATCTGGATAAGTGCAAGCATATGAGATTAGGCAAGGGTAAAACACAAGAACACAACAGAATCAGATCCACCTACTACCTTCGTGGAGGAAACTTGTGCACAATAAAACAGGAGAAGGATACTGGAGTTACAATAGACTGAACTATCATTCGATAATCAGATCAATGATAAAGTGAAAAAGGTTAATTCTATATATATGTTTGCGTTGCTCAGGAGAATGTTTCAGTTTATGGACCAAAAGTCATTTGTCCCCTTATACAAGTGCCTGGTACGTTCCCACCTGGACTATGCCAGTCCAGTGTGGACACCATATCTTTATAAACATATCGATAAGATAGAAGGAGTACAACGAAGAGCAACAAAGTGTCTGCCAGGTATAGGAAGCCTAAGCTACAGCGAAAGGCTGGGGAAACTCAAACTACCAACTTTAGCCTTTAGGAGAATAAGAGGAGAAATGAAAGAACTATATAAAATGTTAAATGGTATTTATGATAAGGACTGTTGCCATTCAGTAATCCTATGGTAACATGTCACTCAAAGGTACAGCAGCAGGATACACCTAATGACATTATACCCAAAAAGATCAACAAACAGGCTAAGGAAGCACTATACTTTTCAATCAAAATTAACTGTACCAATATGGTAAAAAATACCTGAAACTGTTATATCGGCACCAAATGTTAACTCTTTTAAAA